CATCTCAAAATTTATCAATCCCGGTCATCGCTTCTCTACCACAGACTAATCTCTCCAAGGAAAAATTCACTCAAATCAATCATTCAATCATCTAGCGACCTGCCTATTCCGGCACTAGCAACCAAGTGAAGTACGTCCATTTGCAATGGTATTCGCAGCGCCCGTCGCCCTTGAACCTTTTTTCCCGCTAAAAGCCTCGACTAGAACTCCCCGCGAACTCAAGAGCCAGGAGGGGAACCCCGCGTGGTAAGCTGCAGCAGAAGCGGAAGCCTTCGAAAAACATCCTCAAAACCCACGTCTGTACACATAATTCAAGAGCATTGGGACAAAAGTACAAGAGGGTCAACATTTCTGACGTGGTGCGTGCATCCGATGATCAGGATGCAGAGGAGGAAGGGAATACCAGCAGTCCCGTTTTTATAACACACCTCCCGGTCGTGAAGAAGTGGAATAAATTCAAATTCTGGATGGATAGGGCGCCCCCCCCCCCCCCCCCCCCCCCACACCCCCAACCTTTCTGGGGGTAGGCACATAAACCTCTAAATCGCATCGCAGAGATGAAGGCATCTTTAATTTCTTCAAAGGATTGAAGAAAGCTCAGACACAACACTCTATAGCAGAAACTTCATGGAACATGCAGCCGGGGCAAGACGGAGCGAAAGTGCGAGGTCATATTATTCATTATGTTGCTATTGAACAATATCACAAATATCATCGCTAGCTATCATTAGTGGATGTCATGAATAGATATCATTAGTGGATATCATTCATTCGGTAGATAGAGAGGAAGGTAGGCAGGCAGGTAAGTGGTTAGCTAGATGGTGAGGTTTATTCTCTTAAGTGATTGATTGGATATTGAGCAGGCAGGTTTGTTGGTAGGTAGGGAGGTAGATAGGTAGCCAGCTATCTAGTATGAGTTTGAAACTGTTGGCCCTAGGCTGCCTATCACGGACTAGACATATATGCCTCAGCTGTCGACATGCTAGTTATCACTAATCCAAACTCAGAAGGCTATGTCCTTTTTCACATCCAGAACAACAGATTTTAAAATGCTGACTGGAAAAACCCTTGATGTGATTTTTACTATCAATCACAGCACTACGCAGATGTGCATGAAAAGCAGCGATAATAGGTATTAATGTCATATAGTTAGTACAGTATTGGCCGCCCCGAGGGTTTCAAACTTAATGCCCCTCTGTCGGAACTGGATAAAGTCCGAATATTGACCCAAATACTGAATATCGATAGATAAAATTGAATTGATTATTCTAACTCCAATAATTACATGATAATCAGGCAGTATTTATAAGAAAGAGAATGCTTGAACATATGATAGGGGCAGCGCTGGTATACACTGGAGCAGTGATCCGGTTTTAGGTAGCGAGATATACAAGATCCTTGCTAGTGCAATCAGCAGAATCCTTGATATGATATATCATTTCTGACACTAACTGCGGTGAAGGCCCGTGCAATTTGATACATCTGTACAGATCTGTACATACAGTCAGCATACCCTCACTGCACGGAGTACGGAGTACGGAGTATTCTCAGCAATTGGTCGGAATTAAGTTTGAAACTCCCTGTGATTTCTAAGCCTATTGTGTCAAAGGTCAAGTCTCCACTGTGGAAACAGAAGTGGGAATTCTCGCATTTAAGCCAATAAAATCATCGAGATTCAACCGCCTTACCTCCATACATCTGGGTAAAGTGCATATATCCAAGGCCCTACCATTTCAGCCGCAAAACGAAGCAACTTTTTGTATGATTCTTAGAGACTTCGCTCCGCTCCATCTAATTAAATAGAATCATGATTTAGAAATTACGATAAGGACAATATTCAGAACTTAATCTTTATCATAACAGTGAAATGGGATCAGAATTATAATACAGCCGTGATGAAATGACTGTAGCTTTTACATATAAATAGCTCAGTGTTCATGCAAACACGCTATCATTTGATAAGAGATAGTTAACCCTTCTTCGGAAGTGTTTATATAATTTGACAGTTCTCTAGTTACTTACGTTCGGCCATTTTGGCTGCTTCGATTGTATTACAGATGTTTTGAGGGTTGATAGGTGTATGATTGTAATCGCTACGTTCTCTACATGAGCTGCCTGGAATTAAGGCCGTGTTCGGTGGCACGTACAATCTCGCAAAACCTGCACGCAAAAAGTGGATATTAGCGTGCCGCCGGCGTTGATTTTTCAAACCTTGATTGCCACTCTAAAATCATAGTGGTTTTAATGTAATAATCAAATACACACAGTGATGATCTGCTGACTTCCTTATTCCATTTCAACCTCACCTATTTTGTATGAGAGAGTTGTGCAAAATGTCAAACAGTCAGTCTTCAAATAATGATGAGCTCTTTAAATCAGAAAACATTTCAATTAAGTCAATGATCTAACTTATCTTCATCTGTTTTTATCATCATTGTACCTGCCATGTTGCTTCTGCTGTCAATAATAATTGAAAAAAATTCCACTCAGTTGACATTTTCAATTGCTCTTCATTATCAATCTATTCAATCTACTCAATTCATATTTCAATCTGCATTTCAATCTGTGTTTCAATCTGCCTCTCAATCCAACTTCTGTGTATATATTTCATAAAATTCAGCAATGGATGAAGTGCTGCTGCAAAGTCTGCTTGATATGAAAAAGAATGACTGAGAAACAAACAATGAAAACTTCAAAATTTGTGAATGAAATATGACAGTTCTGATTGTTCAATGTGTCACTCATCAAAAAATCAATAAAAATAATCTTGATAATCAATGAAGAAGTTTTAAATGTATGTGGTGATTGTGAATGAAATATAAAAATCAGATCTCTGACTGAATTTGATATGCAAAATGTAAAACATACATTAATGATTCAAAAATTATAAAAGAATATTTTCAATATCATTTAAATTTGAATTTATTTCAACATCATAAATCTGTGTTTTGAAAGTTGAATGAGTGACTGTTTGATGAGAAACTTACTTCAGAACAATACACAATTGATTTTCAAATTATAAAACAATAATTAAATACAGATGATGATTTATACTCTTCATCATTATTTACATTAAATGATTTTATATTAAATGATTTATTTTTTATTGCTGTAAATAATTCTGCTCTGAAATGAAAACAGTTGAGAAAGGGGAAAAAGAAGATAAATACTGAATTAATCTTAAAGTTTAAATCAATATTATGAAAAATGAATATGAAGATGATTAATAATTTATTTAAGATTTCTGAACAAACTTCTGAGAAAGTCATTAAATTGTTTCTACAAAAAGTAAATGAATGTAATGCACTCGTTTATTATTTCCTTATTATTATATTATCTTTGTTTATATCTTCGTTTATTCTTACCTCTTTCCATTATACTCTCGCTATCACTATTTCTATATGTATATATATATGGATGTATGTATTTCGCACATCTTCTTTCTCTTTCTTTTCCTCCTTAGCGATTAGCTACGCTACTATTATTACTACTATAATTACTATTGCTGTTATCTTCCACTACGCTATATACTATCTTCTACTATTCACTCTTCACACTGTCATCACCCCTTACAATGAATTACTTTTAGAAAATTGAAAGAATAGTAATGGAATGGTTTTATATTGACATTATTATGGCGTACGCCGTTCAATTGGTAGGATAATTCATGTCTGAGTTTCTCTAATCTAGAAGGGTGGGCGAACGCCCCTATATATATACGTAGTCATCCCGTCAGCGATCCAATCCAGAGGAAGGAGCGATCGCAGCATACGGGAAGAATAGGAGGAATAATAATGCAGGGGTGGAAGGAGCAGGGCGGAAGGGAGACTAGGGGCGGAACGCCACAATTTATCTACATTTAATATTAAAAATCATCAAAGATTCATTTATTCATCTGCTGCTGTTATTAATTTTTTATAATTAATATAAATCTTTCACATCTGCTCTGTGATCTCATCTCACTTTTTTATCATATAAAATTCATTCTTTTATTCATTCTTTTATTCATTATTATATACTTTTTCTTCTTATTCTTGCTCATTTTTCAATAAATCAACAGGCAATTTCTTCTTATCAAATTCTTCATACTTGTTCAAAAAATTATAAACAGCTGTAAAAGTAAAGATCAGATGAATTTGAATTTTAATTGAATATTTTTCTCTCACTCTATTATAAATTCAAAATCATTATTTGAAAATATTAAAAACATATTTAACTACACTTTTTATATTTGTATGACGAAAATTAAAAAATTTTTATTTATTGACAGATCTTCTGTTGATTTGTGTGAATTTTTTAAAATGATATCAAATCTCTAAATATGAAATCAAAACATTTTATAATCTCTTTGAATAATCAGTGTCCACAAGGAAATAGCATTCATTCATTGCATTTAAAAAATCATTATTATTTTAAATGTGAGCAATAACACAGTTATCATGAAAAGATTCTTTCATTTCAAAGTAAATATATACAAAATTTAATTCATAATCATATATTGTCAAAATGTTTTGTGAAATTCAACCTTTTCATTTTCATCATAATAACTGCTGTCTTGTTGAAATTGCAATTGAAAGATGAGTTTTATTCAAAGCTTCAATACATTCTTTGAAGAATGGTCATTGTTTGAAATTATTGCTCAGCACATCTCAGTTATATTTTATAAAATAAATAAATAAATGAACAATACAGTCATACAATTCATATAATATTTTGAACATTTTATGAAATATTTTATATAAAAATAATGAGTATTTAATATATCTATTAGAACTGTTATAAATGATTTATATTTATTTTAATATTATATTAATAAAATGATGAAACATCCTTGCAGTGTTTTTATATGCCATTTTCTAAATGATTATATATAATAAAATCAAGAGCTTTTATTTGATTTAAATAGTAAATGAATTTATTGATTTTTTTACATTTGTATGATGCTGCAATCAATCAATAAATTTTAAAAAAATGTTAAACTTCATCTGTGTCATATTTTTCAATCATTGATAATGAGAATCTGATTTCAAAAGATCAGCAGTAAAATTCATTTTATGAAAAAAATTTGTATATATAAATCAAATTTAAAAAAAAATTGAATTGTATGCTTTGAGCAACAGAATGCATAGCAATTTAAGTGATTAATTGATAATGTTGATATAACAATATTTGTTTCAATCATTCATTCTCATATTTATCATCAAAATCTTTCATGATGTCAATCATTATATCATCAATGGCAGTTTTCTTCAACTTAAAAAATCAACAAAAAAAGGCATGATGATGAAGGAATTCAGCCCACTTCATTATTATGCCTTTACATAAGCTAAAACCATATCAATGAAATGACCTGGCTGTGTGCAGCTTACACAGTCTTACACAGCTCTAACCTTGTCTATTTCAGTTACAACCACTCTATAATCAGTCTAATTACACTGTTGAATCTTAATACTGTGTAAGCAGAGCAAAAAAAAGGATACAAAAATGACAGAATGAACACAAGGTCTTTTTTGTGTAGGGATCAACAAAAAAAGGCATGATGATGAAGGAATTCAGCCCACTTCATTATTATGCCTTTACATAAGATAAAACCATATCAATGAAATGACCTGGCTGTGTGCAGCTTACACAGTCTTACACAGCTCTAACCTTGTCTATTTCAGTTACAACCACTCTATAATCAGTCTAATTACACTGTTGAATCTTAATACTGTGTAAGCAGAGCAAAAAAAGGGATACAAAAATGACAGACTGAACACAAGGTCTTTTTTGTGTAGGTATTTTCAATACACTGTGCAAGGCTGTGTAAGTGGGTCTTTTATAAGAGGTTATAAGAGCTTACACGGGCAGCCGAACACGCCCTAATTACACCTCGCTTAGCGCTTCTACACTAACTCTACAACACTACTATGGTGTTATTCATCTTTTTCATCTATGTGATTGTTCTCTATTTTAACGGCCGTAGATTACCGAGTCACGTGTAGCCGTTATATATCTCATTACGTTCGCCCGAGGGATTAAACGGCGCGTTTTCAAGCTGGATAAGCGAGCGCAAGCGAGCGATTGCGGCTTGTATAATTTGATGAATTTATTCTTTGTTGCTTCTCTAGCCTAATATACATGGAGACTCCAGAATATTTATACCACTCAACTCACAGAGGATAACTAAACATGGGAGACACACAATATGTAATAAAATAAAGGGGACAAGGTACAGAGCACGGATAGTCCGTGGTTCTGCGTAGCTCGTGGCCATACGAGGGGATGGTTAGTGAGGTCTCTCCATTCAGGATGAGTGAAATATAACTACAGCGTAGAGAGCAGCTGCATATAAGCAATAGGCTAGTGAGATCAAGAGTCTCAGGGTCTCTGACTGCATATAGCCTTAACAAAAAATATGAAGGGTGACGACGGCGACAACAACAGAACTGGGTTGGATCTATCCATCCTCATCAACTGGTGACTGTCTGAAAGCTTTCCCACTAAACTAAATGGGAACATTTCTTATATCACTACCAATCGGTTGGCTCGACATGCGAGTGTTTTCTGTTCAGAGCTTGGTTGATAGCGTAATAGTTAATCTTTGACGTTACCCCGCTGACATCTTTCCAGGATGAATATCTGCCACCGGGGTAGACTATTTTACACTATTAGTACTCTTTGAAATTTTTAGTACATACACAGTTTGCGTCCAAAATAACTAGTATTTCAATGCTGATTTCAAAGACAAGCAGAATCCGGCAACATCTTGAAGATGGGATGTCCTGTCCCACCAAATCATCACAATATCATGGTATATCATTGCTCAAGTAGAATTACGAATGGTTTGCCCCACTATCTTTGAGAGCCGGGCTTCTCTAATAGAGAATTCACAGCAGTTTGATTAGATCTTTCTTGCATGCACCTAGTTCCATGCCGGATGGTGATCAAATTCTGGAGGTGAAGAGTAATTTCCTTGGAGATGACCAATACAGAACTTATGAACCGGCTGAACCTTGATTGCAGAATCATCATGGATTATGTGGTTGTAAATTGTAGAATCATACTCAGAGAGAATCAATATCTGTTTATTCATAATTACTCAGCGCTCCACAAGAACCCACATGGCATTACTTTTGAGGATAGACAATGCATTCTGACCTCCACACACAAGACTGATAGCCGTAATGAGGTAGGTACTCGAATATAAATGGAGTCCCCTACTTTGAGATGTAAGACTGCTTATACACTAAAAAATAGTCAATTCTTGGCCACCATGTGCCCGGTGTCAATACATCCCGGCTCCAGGGTTAATCTTTTCAAAGCAGGACAATTAAAACCCCGATGGCCCCCAGAAATCCCCCGTTTTCCATTATGTTGGCGCGGCCGCAAAAGTATTTTTCATTTATTTTGATTTTAACCAACGCCCGTAAACTTTTGAAGTATCCTTTATCGAACGTGCGGGATAACTGAAGAAGGGATGGTATTCACGGTTTTTTTCGTCGGCATAACGCTCAGTCTCTCATTTTTCATCTATAAATTAGCATCCTTTGTGAGACATTATATCCAGGCTCGCCGGTCCGGGCTTCCTATCTTCATTTCGCCGGTGCTGTCCAAAAGTATACCATGGATGGTCCTCGGACCATATCTACAGCCATTTTTTCAGAAACACCTTCCTGCGCTGCTGTATGACCGGCTGGACATAGTGACGCATGGATGGGAGTACCGAAGAGGGCGCGAGTTCCATGAGAGGCTGGGCAACATATTTGCTCTTGTTACTCCCGATGAATGCTTGATTTGGTAATTCAGCTTCTGGCCAAAACATGGAAAAGGCAGCACTCTGATGGCGATGCAGGGTAGCTGATCCCCGCCCGA